TGCACAATTGGTGGCTGACTAAATACTTTTTTGCCCCACTGTATACTGTATACTAGATTGTAAATTGCTGCAGCTGATCAGATCTTTTTTCTGACCTTGATATCTCACTCACTGATTACTATAATCCAAGTGTTAAATGTCTTTTAAAGTTAATATATGAAAAATAATCATTTAACCTTCTGCAGGAATTAATAAGGAAATTAGCTCACTGAGAACTTTTTTCTTCCTTAATAAGGCTAGTTTACACAAGTGTTTTGCATTATATTTTCATTCATATAAAATGAAGTTAGATTATCAGTGTATAATTAAATTTTTAGCAGAAATTTACTAAATGTCATGTGCAATCATGGATATTTACTCAAAAGGAAATCTCATTAGGCTCCATTTAAGGGTGTATATATTGTTTTGTATAAATAATTATGAGTATTTCTTCTGACCTCAGATAACTTTGTTCCATATTATGTCCACACATCATTGAGTGAAAAATCATAGGAAGTTCTCTACAGTTGCTGAAAGCTCACTTTGCAGCAACCAGAGAAGGAAATTTCTCCATCTGGAGATCCTGCTAGAGAGATGGACCATTTTGTTGGCTTTTGAAAAGCTCTGACAAATTCATCTTCTTCAACGGTCCCTAATTGTTGAAGATTTTAATTTATGTTTTTTTATGATTTTAACTTGGTTTCATGATTTCTTGCTTTTATTATAAACTGCCAACAAACTTCTGTATAAAACAAATCTGATAAATAAAACTGGTAGGAGAAGACAGATTTTTAAAAATTGTTTCTAGAGGCACACTATAGAATGTAGGTAATTATGAATTAGTGCCTTCAAATGAAAGTCTTTGCAATGCACATGAAGATAGCCAGAGACAGTTTTTGAAACAGCTGTGCCAGCTTGGAGAAAAATGCATCTGCTTTAATTCTACTATTGGCTCATTAATTATGTGTAAAAATCAGAATATTTGGGAGGTTTGCCCAGCTAGGAATATGATACAATTCTCAGTTTTGGGGATACTTGTTTTAAAGGCATGGCATCACAAGTTTGGTTAAATTAAGATGCTCATATTCAAGATCCTTGGTCAATATGAAGCATGTTTTTCATTCAAAGGACTGTGAATAGTCAGCATTATTTCTGACTGAATTGATAATCTGTTATTTTCATTCATCTCTTACAGTGTTTCTCAACCTTGGCTGCTTGAAGATGAAGCCAGCATGCTGGCTGGGGAATTCTGAGAGTTGAAGTCCACACATCTTCAAATGGCCAAGGCTGAGAAACATTGATCTAGTAGGTCCTAGCAGCAGCATCCATGAGGAAGTTTGAAAAAGTCAAGGTAGCAGTAATGTCAATGTGATCAAAACCCCATCCATTTATACGTATGGTGAAATCAAGATGTGTACAAAAGGGTCAGGGTTTTGCTGGTACTTCTACAGCTGCTCTTGATTTTTTTTTCATTCCCCACCACCACTAAGGAGGTCACTAGATCCTACATAGGTACCAGATATAATTCCTTCAAATCTCTCAAATTATTGTGCCTAATAATATAGATTTCTCTCTTAGTGTCTTCATACAAATGCTAAACAGTAGATGAAAAAAGATGAACTCCATGGTATCTCACATTTCTTAGACATTGAATTAAATCCAATGTCTAAGAAATAATCAACCACATGAACTTCTGTGATCACCATTGGGAAGGAATAAAAGCAATATAAATCTGGGTTTCTTACATTGGTCTCAATTGGATATAGTGGTAAATTACCATATAACGTTATAAGACACAACTAGTATTATTGAAATGAAAATTGCAATCAGGCTGCTCTTTTCTTTGTGGCACAACCACAGTGTTTTGCTTTTCTTTAATAACAGCTGGTCACAAACAGTGGTTCATCTTCCTGATCATGTTTAAATACAACATTCAATATTGATTAAATTGTCTTGTTTCTACTAACTCTAATTAGTAATTTTAGGATTTAGACAACATCCTAAACTTGATGTGGTCTTGCACCTAGTTTTTATTTTAAATCTTGATTTAATGTTACATCGTAACAACTCCACATATTAATTATTGTGGTAAGAATCTTGTGCAGTGCATGCAAACACAGGAAGAGCTGTTGAATGCTAATGTGAAGAACAACACTTGCTCTTTGCCAGCAGTAGACTTACCAGCAGTAGATTGGTAGATTATATCCATATGTCACAGTGACTTCAAGTACAGAAGTTTCCAGTATAAACTACTCGCAGTTTGCTTTTTCCATGCCATATGAGATAACTCATTAACCCAAACTAAGACACTAAAAGTTTATGCTATTTCTTGTGCTTACCCACAATAGTCACTGGGATACAAATAAAGCCAGCACCTTATTTGTTATCTTTGTGTACTTCCTACTGTGAAATAATCTCCTTCAAACAGAATTTCAAACTGTTGCAGATTAACAAGGGTATAGATTACCTAGGGTGCTACACAGTATGTATATTTGGACATGCTGCTTGCTCTTAGCACATAAAATGAAATGTCCTTCTTTCCTTATTATGCATGGTAATGCTTTCTTTCCACTATGGTGCAGTTTCGACAGTGTAGCTGTCTGAAGCACCCCCACATGGAAAACAGTGAAAGGCATAATTACAGGCATTGTGGCAGATAGCTGTTGTATGATTCACAGTAACAAATGATAAACTTCTACTGAAACTTTACTTCTGTGTTTTCAGACAGCAGCAATGCAATGGATGTATGAAATTAATGGCCTACTCCCCAAGACTACCCCACCCACTTCTTCAGCAAAAGTAATTTGCAGGAATGGATACATGAGATCAGCAACAGTGCGACAACGCAACTTTGTAAGGGAAAATATGAAGCTCCTATCCACCAGCGTGTCCTCCCCAATTAAAGGAGCACCTCTCATTTTAAGAATGAAATAAATGTTTATACAAAATATTTATTTTATGCAAAAAAATGTAGAACAAATATTGAGATATAGACAGATGTACAACATTATGTTAATCAGCAATTAATGGAGAATTTTGTTTTATTTACTTGGAAAAATGTGTAAATCTGTAGAGTTTTCTCTGTCCTTGAGATCTAGTGGCAGTGGTGAAGAAGAAAGAGAGCCTTGCAACCTTCACAGTGCCTGAGATTAGAATAACACATTACGTCATCTGTTTTTAGGGTGGAAACAAAAATTCAGTCAATTGGCTAAGTACAAGGTATTATTACAAAGCACTATTGGGGCTGCTTAAGATAAACCAGGCACACAGATAGGAGCATCAAAGTTATTGTGGTGTCCTTTATTAATAAGTACTATAATTATTTTCTAATACCAGTGCAATACTGTTGATTGTTAAACTACTCTTTTATGCTGACTTCTGTTTGATATCCTTTGATTTTTTTCATATCCATAAGAAATAAAAATTATAAAAAGTTGTAAGTACCTAGAATGCTTAGCAGTGCATTTCAGAAGATGTATTTATAATATTGATGATATGGAACTGGCAGAATCTCTGATTTACTGTAGTTGCTGTGTCAGCTTCATTGGCAGGAATAGAGTGAAATTGTATCAGTAGCCCCAAAACTGGGATTCTGGCTGAGTTCTACTTGGCAGAGCAAAGTAGAAAGATGCTCTAAGACACATTTAAACTTACTCAGTCATGAAGGTAGTTAAGATCTCGGTCACCTGCTAACATATATTGGAACACTGAATAAATGGCATTTATAATAAGATGTGCAAGCAGTATTGGAATGAATATAGACTACACTGTGCAGAGTTGCATGGATTATGGCCCAGTGCTGCAATTACCAAGGCTGTGACTGATTGGATACCTTAAATACTGCTCATGAGCATCAAAATGTCCATAGACAAGTCCTTTGGCATCCACCAGGATTTTTGTCCTACTTAATTTTGTTTTGCTGTGTTTTGTTAGATGCTAACAACAACAACAATGCAAAGCTGACATACTACAAAACAAAGCACCAAAGCACGGAATTATATTTATTTTCAAAAATGCTTCTAAGATACATAGTCTTTCTTAGAAAATCAAAATGGAAGTGTGACAATCTATCTAGGGGTAGTAAAAAGAAGATAAAGTTAAGGGAATGTAGGGAATTTTCTGGAATGCTAGAGGAGATGTGGGAATTAATCTAATCAGTTTACCTTCTGATAAATGAGTGATTTATGACTGGCAGTGCCTATTGTGGTGGCCACTTTGTGGCTAGCCCAGTCCCCTTGGGCAGTGACTTTGCGAGAGCATCCTCAGTTAATAAATTTGACATGCCCTCAGTGGCGTAATAAGATTATATACCTGTGAATTAGGATTTATTGACACTGATAATTGGCCTTGAGCAAAGATGGGCAATTCAAGACCATGTGTTTTAGGTGGAGAGTTAGAGATTTACATACACAGCTGCATAAACATATTGCTGGTCCCTGACACCACCACTTTCTCCTGCATTCATCCCTCTTCCTTGCAGTTGCATTGGAGAATGCTTTGGTATTTCAGTCTCCCTGAATCTCAGTCTACATCCTGCGGTAGTTAATCATTGACAGTGTACATTACCAGACATCTGCCTCCCTTCAGGTATTACTTCAAAAGAAGGATCATTCCATTTAGCTAGGGAGGAAAATGCTATGCTAGAATAAAACTGAAATAAAATAAATCTACCTTAATCCTGCAGTTTAAATAGAAAATTATTGCAAATTTAGAAATGATTAAAGTGATTAAAAATACTTTCTCATTGGAAGTGAGACTAAATAAATAAATAACCAAATATTTCAATAGAAATGTAAGTCTAAGTAAATCTAATATTGGGAATGAAAAAGAAACAAAACACTTTGTCTGTTTCTTGGTATTTATCCATCCAATGGATATTTAACAATTGCATTTATTCCTGCGGTGATTTCTTGTTCTAAAATAAATTACTGAGCAGTGTCTTAGTGCTGACACAGATCACAGTTTATTGCTGATGGAATGTTAACTGCTTTTTAAATAACTCTGAATAAGTCTGCTGATCCATAAATAGGTTCATCTGAAAGGAATCCACTTCATCCCTTGGCTTGATTGTTTTGCCCAACATAATTTACTTCGTCCCAGTCATCATAATGCAAATAGTATCCAGCTTGTAATGGCAACCTAAATGAGGGGGGGGGGGGGAGAGAGAATGGGAATGTATGACATTAACAGCATAATGCAAAAGATAGATGATATCTTCAAGAAAGTGAGAAAAAAAATTCCACACACTATCTTATCTGCAAAATGGGCAGATTTTCTAAGCATGAAAGGGATCTAAAAAGAAATAACTCTCTGCAAGAAACAGTCCCATCAAGACTTTTCATTTTGGAAAATGAAATTAAGGATAAATCACTGTAAATCCTGCTGGCTTTATTTTGTCATAAATGATGTCATAAATTGCCATATATTAATGTTTTGAGTGCTGTTGGACCCACATTTCCCTACAATGGCTGTAAGAGTAGCAGATGTCAGTAGGACTTCCAACCAAGAGTTGCAGGATGTGAAGTTATGTCTTTGTAAGTATGATTGTTCTGATGAACAGAGAAACATGGCAGCAATATTTTGAAAACTCCTTGGAATATTGGGACCTAAAACTATGTCTTTTTATATGAAGACAACAGCAATAGTGTAATGTGTATCTAGAACCCATAGAGGGAGTCACAACTTCTAACTAGTTGGCCATTCCTCCATTATCAGTTAAGAGAACAGCTCTTCACTAGTTCACAGAGGAGTTATGAGTGAGAGGCTGAGAAAGTCTCTTAGGAAAAGGAGATAAATTCTAAAAGGGTGGGGAGGCAATCCAGATGTCTAGTTTTTTGTAACCTATCCTCTTTAAATCTCTACAAACTCTAGAAAATCTTGCTTTTTGTGGAGGTAGAGTGGCCAAGAACTTAAGATTAATCTCAGCAATTGATTCATGTTTGTTACAAATGAACAACTTTGCAACATCAATAGTATTCCAGATTCAGATTCTGTCTTTTCCCCTCTCTCTTTAGATTAGTTTTAATTTTAAATACTTACAATCAGTGGAGGAAAAGTGGCCTATCTTGCTGCTTTTCAATGGACATTGTGAAAAACTCTCAAGATATTCACAAGGCAAAATGTATGAATGAGGTAGACATACTTTTTTCCTATCCAAATAGCCTTTCATCTCTCTACAGTGTCTCAAACAACTTCAGATTAAAAAAAAAAAAATACAGCTACAAGGGTATGAACACTCACATAAAAGGCTCTGCAAGAATTTTCTACATGCAGGCCTTCCACTCATAGGGAAAGATCATGTCTACATTGTGCAAAAATTGGCTTAAATAATTGTCAAGGTTTTGAAGAATTAATCAAATGCTGGCAGATATTGAGAACTCTAAGGGCAGACAGACAGCTGCTGAGAGGTCAGGTTATATCTGATAGAAAAGGGTAAGGCAGAAATTAGAAATGACTATCAATGGTCTTATTAAATAGAAAACAATAAAACAGATGCTGATGCTGATCTCTAGATAGTAATGCTTACAGAGTAATACTAAGCATTTAACAACAAAAGAAGCTAAACTATAATGCTAAAGAGTGAAATATGCATTGGAGATGCAGAATAGAGTGTAGCAGTACATTAGTGGAATGCTGTACCTGGAATTAGAATAAGGTTCCTGAAAAAATAAAACAGGTTTAGCTGTAGTCTGCATATGTGAAGTGCTTCAAATTCAATTTCAGCAAGATGTTTCAGCATATCTGGGAAGCCACACAAACCCAGGTAAAGACACAACCACTTTAAAGAGTTGTAGTTGTGGCAGTTGTGCCCCCAGGTACTCCACAGTTACTTTTCCGAATTACAGTACATCTGAAGCACTGCCCAGCTCTCACTTCAGCTACCAAGGAAGAGGGTTTTTTTTAACAAGATGGGACACACAAACATGTAAAGTTGATGCAAAGGTTAACAATACTGCAATCCTGGATTTTTCTTTCTTTTAATATTTACAGAATGCTATATCTGTGGAACATGGGATCCAGACATGATCTTACCTTACTTTATTTTTATCCCATTCATTTCCAAGGGAATTCAAAGTCACATACTTCTGTTCCATATATTCCATATTCTTACATGTAGATTAAGTTGCAAAACAGGGACTGGATGGGTTTACAAAGTGCATTCCACCATAAATTGAATAGTCTTGTATGCATGGGTGCCTACTGGGAAGGGGGGTTCGGAGCAAAGGACAATGTGTGCCATGAAGTCACCATGCAAATTACATGACTTACATACTAGTGTCAGACACGATACATCTACTGGTGGTTTTTGTGTGATGACATCATAATGTGTATATGATAATTCTGACATTATGGCTTATTCAACCAGCCATTAGTAGGATGCCAGATCATTACCTTTCTGATTAGGAGTTGAGAGGTTTGGTTATCAAATTTGAATCAAGATGCTTCTAGATAAGGTTTTTATTAAGCAAGTGCTACTTCATGGCATTGCCTTTCATTTGAACCCCCTTTTCTTTTTTTACCACCACATTTTCAGTCTGTCTTCTTATCAGGAAAGATATGAAACAAAGATGGAATAACAGAACAATGCCTTTGAATTGATGGTGTTAGGAGCCACACATCTGAAAGCAACACACTTGCCATTATATCACGATGCCACTTGGCTGCGTGCAATTCTAAACCAACCAGTATTGGACTGGTGATATCACTTCCTATTTTCTAAATTTACTGAAATGCTAGAACCAGCCATTCTTTAGATTATAAAATCTATTTTGCTTTTCAATATATTTTCCAGGCAATATTTGAAAGCTAGCAAATAGTATAAACAACAGTATGGTTTTTCTGTAGGCTTCTGAAATATTTTAGTACAGCCTATGAAGGAAAACAAGGAAAACAAATCAAGATCAGGCTGTGTAAGAGAAAACCCCTTTTCCTTGCAAGATATAAAAGAACTTGTCAATTTGATAGTTGCATAAAAATTCAAAATTACCAATGGAACAAAACAATATTCATTTGTTCTCTTTTAAAAGATGGCAGTATTAAGCATTTCACATAGATCTGAAGATATGAGCAGGATGTAAGTCAGCTTTAATATGTTTTATTTATTTGTCACATTTCTAAGGCTGTCTGACTCCATAGAAATGGCTTGATTCCAGTCTTATTATTTCATTTTAAGCTGTGGTTATGACAGGAACATTTTACTGAAAAAGGATTAGCTTTTTCTCTCATATAGTATGTTTTTAATATTAGCAAGTCTAAAAGAATATTTTCTTAAGGATATCATTTAAAACACTAGGGCATTTAAAAAAAAAAATCTATTATTAGAATCTGTACAATATATATAGTCATATACATGCTCCCCCCCCCCCCCAAATCAGAGAAGAAACAATATACAAGTTATATTTGG